CGCCTGCGGTAAGCAGCAGCAGCAGCAGCAGCAGCAGCAGCAGCAGCAGCAGCAGCAGCAGCAGCAGTAGCAGCAGCAGCAGCAGCTGAATATCAGCTGTTTCTATGCAAGGGTGTGTATGCGTTTCTGCTGCTTCAATTGTATTTATTTATGTGGTTGCTGCTGCTTCTGCTGCTGCTGCTGCTGCTGCTTCTGCTGCTGTTGCTGCTGCTGCTGCTGCTGCTGCTGCTGCTGCTGCAGGAGAGAGATATATGGGGGGGGTTGTTTTCTCCTCCTCAGGCCCCTCCTAGCCAGGGGCCCCCACTAAACTTTTTTAATACATCTGCAGCAGCACCAGCAGCAGCAGCACCAGCAGCAGCAGCAGCAGCAGCAGAAGGCGCTGCTGCTGCTCCTGCTGCAGCTGCCAAGCCTCCTGCTGCAGCTACTGCAGCAGCAGCAGAGAAACCTGCTGCTGCTGCTGGACGGCCTCCTGCTGCAGCAGCAGCAAAACCAAATTCTGTAGAAGCAGCAGCAGCAGCAGCAGCTGCTGCTGCTGCTGCTGCTGAGGATGTGTGGCACGGAGCAGCAAACGCAGCGCAGCGGTTCTTCGATGGTCTATCCAACTGGGGCTCACCCTCACTGCAGCAGCAGCAGCAGCAGCAGCAGCAGGAGCAGCAGCAGCAGCAGCAGCAGCAGCAGCAGCATTCTGTTGATACACGTCCTATGAGTTTCATACATGAAGACTACGACGAAGAAGATGCAGATTTTGCTGCTGCTGCTGCAGCAGACAGCGACGCAGCAGCAGATCCAGCAGCAGCAGCAGCAGCAGCAGCAGCAGCAGGTGCAGCAGCAGATGACACAGCAGCAGCAAAACGACAATCATGGGATACCCGCAGCTGGCCGGGCGCAGCGCATGCAGCTGCGCATACACCCGAGAGTATGCTTTCAAGCCCCATAGAACAGCAGCAGCAGCAGCAGCAGCAGCAGCAGCAGCAGCAGCAGGAGCAGCAGCAGGAGGTGAGAGAAGGAGGAGGGGGTACGAGAGCAGCAGCAGCAGCAGGAGCAGCAGCAGCAAGAGCAGCAACTAGCTGCTCGCTAGCAGCAACAGCAACAGCAGCAGAAGCACTGTCGTGTCACGTGCAGCAGATGGCCTCCTCCTTACACCCAGCAGCAGCAGCAGCAACACAGCAGCAAATACTAGCAGCAGCGCATGCATTCCCTGCTGCTGCTGCTGAACTCATAGCAGCAGCAAAGCGACGCATGCAGCAAGCAGTAAATAAGTGGCAGGCAAACAGCAGCAGCAGCAGCAGCAGCAGCAGCAGCAGCAGCTCCATCGACCAGCAGCAGCAGCAGCAAACAGCAGCAGCAGCAGCAGCAGCAGCAGCAGAAAAGCCGTTTGATTCTGCTTCTTTTATGGCTCGAGCGGTGCTGCAGGCGCAGCAGCGCATGCAAGGCCTTCGTGCTGCAGTGCAGCGCCACAGCAGCAGCAGCAGCAGAGGAGACACCCACAAACGCTCTCGCGCAGCAGCAGCAGCAGCAGCAGCACCCCCAGCAGCAGCAGCAGCAGCAGCAGCAGCAGCAGGGTGGTGGGAGGAGACAGGTCTCCCTATAAGCCGGGGGGAGATGCACCGCAGGGTGTGTGGGGTGTATAGCCAGCAGCTGCCGCAGAGCATGCAGCAGCTGCTGCAGGCGTTACAAGCCTCGCTGCAGCAGCAGCAGCAGCAGCAGCAGCAGCAGCAGTGGGGCCCTGCTGATGAAGAAGAAGAGGAGACAGAAGCAGAGGTGCTGCAGGCTCTTCTTGCTGCACTCAGAGCCGGAGACTTTGCTGCTGCTCCCCGCAGCTGGGCGCAGCAGCTGCGGCAGCAGTTTGCTGCTTACTACTACTACCAGCAGCAGCAGCAGCAGCAGCAGCAGCGGCTGCAGCAACAGCAGCAGCAGCAGGGGAAGCAGTGGCAGCAGCAGCAGGGGCTGTGGCACAAGCAGCAGCAGGGGACTCAGCAGCAGCAGCAGCAGCAATTGCTGTTGCTATTGGAGCAGCAGCAGCAACTGCAGCAGCAGCAGCAGCAGCTATCAGCTGCAGCAGATATGATAGAGGTCCTATTCTCTCCTCGTCGTCTTGAGGCACAGCAGCAGCAACAGCAGCAGCAGGAGCAGCAGCAGCAGCAGCAGAGTATGCTAGTGATGCCGTGGCTGCCGCAGCTGCTGCTGCATGCAGCAGCAGGAGACAGTGCCTTCGACGTCTTTCTTCTGTCTCCTATTCGTCCCGCAGCATTTGCTTCTGCTGCTGCTGGGCTTTTGAATGCAGTTGCTGCTGCTGCTGCTGCTGCTGCTGCTGCTGCTGCTGCAGCAGAAGGAGAATACCCACAGCAGCTAGAACAGCAACCGCAGCAGGAACCACAGCAGCAGCAGCAGCTGCTGCTGCTGCAGCAGCAGCAAGATACCATGCCCATGTATACAGCTAGCCAGCTAGCTGCGCAGCAGCAGATGCGGTTGCTGCTGCAGCAGCAGCCTGCTCTCCTATCTAAGGTTCTTAAGGTTAACCAGTGGTGGGCTTCAGGCAGAAACACACTTGCTGCTGCTGCTGCTGCTGCTGCTGCTGCTGCTGCTGCTGCTGCTGCTGCTGCTGCTGCTGCGGGGAGTGGTGCGGCGCAGGGAGATGCTGCTGCTGCTTTTCTCCCGCCTCGAGGGGGAGATGCTGCTGCAGCAATAGCAGCACATCTGCTGCCAGCAGAACGAGCTGCTGCTGCTGCGCTGCTGCAGCAAACAACGCAGCAGCAGCAGCAATGGGCCTTTGTTGCGGTGTCTCTACACCCAGACAAAATACAAACTGTCTCCGATCTGCTGCGGGTGCTGCGAAGGGCAGATGAGTTTGCTGCTGCTGCTGCAGCAGCAGCAGCAGCAGCAGCAGCAGCAGACAACGACGATAGCGTCAAGCAGCAGCAACAGCAGCAAATAG